ATTGTATATAATTAATTATTTTACCTCGTTCTATAATAATTTGATGTTCAGAAAATTAATTAATTAAATTGATTTATGATTTATTTATTTATATTTTTTAGTTTCTATACTATGTATTTATGTTGTACACGAAGGCCTTTTAAGTGGTTTACCGTCGATGATTTTACGTGCTCTCCGAGGCACGTAGCAAATTACGATAGTCATCATCATATGAGTCATTATCTCTCGACTGTAGGTCTATAGGACTATAGGTCTCCCCCATAAACTGCTATAAGAAACAGTCCTGAGCTATTTGCTTCCACTGACTCTCTGCAGCACATTTAAAATCATCGCTCTATTTAGTGGCGGTTCGATAAATAAATTTCAATTATGATAATAATAATCATTTTTCAATTATCTGATAATAACTTCAATTTTTTATTTTTATTTTTGGAAAACGTACAGATGATTGACAATCAATACATAATCAAATTGTATCTGTGTTAAGCCATTAATCGTTTTCACATTCAATCAATTTTCGGTTTTTATATATGCAAAAAGAATATATATATAATGATTACAGAGTTATAAATTTTCAATAACAATAAATAAAAATTCAGTTAATAACAAGACTTGTGTGTTTTCTGATTGAACTGTCATAGAATAATTTGAACGAATTATCCACAATCATAAGCGTAGAGCGATTGTAGTGTTCATCCCAGAATTGTATGATGCCCACCCTGAAATATTGAACTAAACTTTCAATTACAAGCAAAGACAGTATATTAAGCACCTATCATAAGGGGTCAGGTCCTCCGTAAGAAATATTCTTAAATATAAAATATGCCAATGCTCACAATTATTCGGAATTATACGATTAAGTAAGACGAATAGATCAAACTGGTAGTTTTATAGTAAATGCCGTCGAACCCTTCGCCTTGTAAATCGAGAGTTGTAATACACTTGCCCCTATTAAGGTCAATGCTATCCACTGCCTATCCCACAACGGTTAAAATCACTATTAACTTAGGCTCCACTACACAACTTGGATCAAAAATAATTTAAATATGTAATTTAACATTCTTAAATTGAAGTGAATAACTGAGAAAATAATAGTTATATGTACAATATAACTATTATATATTAACTATTGTTAAAATCATATCCATAAACGATAGTTACAATTTATAATTATATGAACCATCAACCTATTTACTAACTTTTACTCGTAACTTTGCCTGCATGATCTGCGTGAACATAAGTTCACGAACTGGGATAAAAAGTAACCTATACCAAATTTCATAGATAGTTGGTCAAGTCGTTAAGGTGTAAAGAGGTGACAAACAAATGAAATTTCACATTTATAATGTTAGTAACGATGCAAATTACTTAAAAAACGTAACTCTTGGATACCTCTGTCCCATTCGTATTTCTACCGTGAAGCAGTTGTGTTTGCATGGTTGTGTTTCGGTTTGAAGGGTGGGATATGGCAGTGGATTTACAAGGTACAGAGGAATAACACCTGAGTCCTCAGGAATGGCAATGCATGGGAGTATCATTGGTGAAACAATATACTCTTTTACGTTCATGGTACTGCTCATGTCTACAGGTGACGGTTACCGCTTTCCATCAGGTGGACCGTTAGATTGTTTGCCATACTTAGTTGCATAAAAAAAAATCTCCACAATGCACCTAGCAATCAAGTTACCATACGGCGATAGCCAATAAAAAGTGCATATCAATTTGCAGCTCCTGAACCTATCCCCATTTCACCATAGCTAATTTCGTAAGTCTTGTCGCTCGCCTACTGACCACAAGTATTGCATACTACGAGTATAATGCAATAAATATCCTTTCGCATCTCTTCCGCATTCTATACTTGTTATACGCGGGCCCGTTTAAACCTGTTCCAATACTTATCTAATAGGGTAAACCTAAAGGAGTGATGTAAATATATTACTAAATCTCGCATAATATCCTCTCGAAGGATTTCATAAGGAATAATAACAAATTTGCCGTGTAGACTCCAGTATAGAAACTCGTGAACGGGTGCTGCCTGTAGGGACTGGTCTGCTCTGAGGGCCTACCATGAAATATTTTCCGAAATTTCGGGGACGAACGAAATAGAAATTTGATATTAAAATTACATAATACATGCCGTTTAAAATTATTTAAAATATTAAAATATCGTTCCTCTGGACTATTAGGATAGGATTTATGATGAATGAAACGTTAACACGTTAAAAAAACGTTAAGCTCCATTTACTGGGTCGATTTAGGTACGAACAAAAACACGAAATTGAGCCCGAAACCTCGGAATTTCATTTCATGGTAGGCCCCCTGATTATTGCAATCGATTTATTTTAGTGATTTGTTTTAATTATACATTTATATATTTTAAATTTTATGATCTGATCCAACTTAGTAGTTTGTATTCACACAAATTCATTATTTATATGTAAGGCTGCCATCTCTAAAATTTGGCAATTAGGACAAGACATGTGAAAACCCCGGATTTTAAAGCCCTGAACCCAGACATATTAACATGTTTTTTTTAAACATAGTCAGTGTAATAAAAAACAGTAGAAAATGTCCATAAATCAACTTTTTATTTATTTTCAAACTTTTAAATTAAATTTAGTAATTTTTTATCATCATTGTAAATGTACATAACAAAACAGATTTATGGCCCGGACGCTCCCCGGATGACCTTTAAACTAGGACAAACCCAGGGAAACCTGGACGGATGGCAAAATAGGATTGCCATTCGTCCAGGTTTACATTTTTTTAAAAAGCAACAGCTAAGTTTTTTGTCGTTTCTTCTTGGCTAAAATTACGTTCCAAATCGGCTATTGTCTATTCAAAAATGCTTAATACAAAATTTTTTTATTTAAAAATATTTCTTTCTTTCTTTCCCGTGGGTGCCGTAAGAGGCGACTAAGGGAGTTTGTGGTGGAGGGATGGACAGCAGCGTCCCTCTTAAAACATCAGTAAAAGCCAAACTGCGCTTGCCAACCCATCTATGTCGGCAATTACTGGCAAAAACCGTCCTTATGGTGGACGCTATGTTCAGCAGTGGACAGTCAACAGTTAATACAAAAATAACATATTATTTCTGTGTATAAGCTTTGTTTTACATTCACTTTTAATATAGATATTAGGTTATAACGAAAATAACAAGGTACGTAGACATATTTATCCTTTGAAAGGTTTTCTTCCAGTCAACCTTGAGAATCCGAAAGGGAAAAGTATCTAGAGAGAGATATATATATATATCTTTGGCAAACAAGCTGACGGCCCACCTGATGGAAAGTGGTAACCGTCGCCTATAGACATGAGCAGTACCATGTACATAACAGAGTATACTGTTTCGCCCATGATACCCTCATGCGTCGCCATTTCTGAGGGCTCAGATGTTATTCCTCTGTACCCTGTAAATTCACGCCATATCCCACCCTTTAAATGCAAACACAACTGCTTCACGGTAGATATGTCTATATATATATATATAGTTTATATATAAAGCTTAACATATATGATGCAATAATAATATGCTTGGGGATCACAATGTACAAAGAGGGCCATCATAGAAGTCACGTTTCAAATTCAACATTCAAGGTATCCTTGCAGAAAAATCTGACGAATGTTGTACAGTCTTCCTCTAGTATTGTACAGCATGAACGTAGGCCTCTCTCATAAGGGGAGTTTTACCAGTAGTTGCCACGCTTCTTCTAGTATATAGCTTTGTTTTTCTTAAATATCCATCATCGAACAGCAGAATGTACGCTGCTGTTTCACTTTTATATAGGAATGACTGACATTTCATTTCTTAGTCGATCCGTTAAAGAATAGGTTTCTCTCTTGATGTTTGTGAAATTATCTGATAAATTTCTTCATATTCTGTTTGGCAATTCGTATAAAGTATTTAACGGCTAGAGTGAATTAGGCCTATTAGGCATTATTACACTTGTTCATAGTAAGGTTACCAACTTTTTGATTTCAGCACAAACGGATGAGCGATCCAAACCTTAAAATATACAATTTTTTTTGCACACGTGAGAAAGGTAATTGCATTTTTTGTTATATTTTGTTTTATTTAGACGTAATAATAAATTATTACAAATTTTACGCAGCAAATTTTTTTTTTATGTTTAGATATATATATATTTATGTATATTTTATACAATTTTTTTTGCACACGTGAGAAAGGTAATTGCATTTTTTGTTATATTTTGTTTTATTTAGACGTAATAATAAATTGTTACAAATTTTACGCAGCAAATTTTTTTTTATGTTTAGATATATATATATTTATGTATATTTTATACAATTTTTTTTGCACACGTGAGAAAGGTAATTGCATTTTTTGTTATATTTTGTTTTATTTAGACGTAATAATAAATTGTTACAAATTTTACGCAGCAAATTTTTTTTTTATGTTTAGACAAAAAAGCAAAATGATTAAAATAAAAGTGTTCGGCGGGACATGCTAAGTCCCGTATATATTGTGTAAGATATATGGGACGTCCCGTGAAATACGGGACGGTTGGCAACACTACTACAAAAGTACCTTAGTCGTTATCTCTAGATGTCTAAGTGCCTATGTAGAAATTTGTCAATTGTAACAAGACAGAAGGACAGAAGTTTTATGAAGTAGATGAATGTTTTAGTTCCATACAGTTAAAAAATTAAAATGAATAAAATAATAAATTTTAATAATTATGCATCTAACGATAGTTTTCAGAATATTTTATCTAAAGTTTTTGATATTTAAAGCCCTCATCGTCTAAAAGAAAAATCTTTAATTTTTTAATTAAATTTCTAACGGTTTATTATTCAGTGGAAAAAAAAACAAAACAACAAGTGTCATACAGTATGGTGTTACTTTGACAAAAATACGCTTGGATGAAATCTATAAGATATTTAAAAATTTGATTTAAATTTAAAGACTTTTGTTACGTTTTGGTAAGAATACCAGTTTAGAAAAAATATTAATTCTGTAAAAAAAAAAACAAACAAACCTCGTCAAATCCTTCAGCTATCATAAGTAATCCGTAATTCAATTAAAACTGATTTTTTCCAACGTTACACACTTACTAATATTATTTGAACAATTTTGCTGTAAATTGTCATTTTAAAATTATAACTGGAAAAATGTCAATCACAACACTACTGTTTCAATTCATTACAAACATTCTTAAAAAAAAACAGTGGGATTTAAAAATTCGAAATTCAAAATATTGGCGGTATAATTACGTGCGCTTTGCCGCGGCGACGTTCGTTCGTAAACACGACCGGTTTATGAATGCTTGAAACGCAACATTTTCTTTTCATTGGCGATCAGTAGTTTACCTTGATTTTCTTAATCATGATCAATATTTAATAGATATACTTAATTGAAATTTTTAACCTAGAATGTAAGTACCTGCCTAATATTTACAATATACTTTAATATTTTAAGGAATAGGAGAGGTTGTTTCAACATAAGAATTCAAGAATAAAACAGTTACTCAAGTTTGAAAGAGGCTCTCATTTTGCCGGGATTTTTTGAAGACTTTGGAACAGTATAATGGATATTTTCGCAACCCATAACATATTTTGTATCACGAATGATGACTATTGTTGTGTGGAACAAATTCTTGTAATACCTTGTGCGTTTGAAAATTAGTTCAATATCAAAAAGGAAGATAATTTTTTTTGCGTTACGCAGTATTTTTGCCAATTCATAACCAATTTTGATTATTTCTTTTATTGATCTCATGTAACGTTATCAAGGTTGTAGTCCTCTTTATTTTTAACCGATTTCAAAAAAGGAGGTACTCAATCTGGTAGGAAATAAAAATCATTTGATTATTTATATCTTTATGTCTGCCGTTAACTGTCCACTGCTGAACATAATCCTCCATAAGGGGGATATTGCCAGTAGTTGCCACGCTTGGCAGGCGGGTTGGCAACCGCATTTGCGCTTTGGTTTTATTTTAAGAAGAATACTGATGCCCATTCCTCGATCATTAAGTTCCCTTTATCGCCTCTTCCCAAAGAGGGTTGACGTCAGGCAGGCGACCGGTCGTGAAACTAAAAGCCAAATCTTTGAAAAAAAATAAAAACGAATCTACCGATAGATTTGTTTGCCACTTGTTTACGGGGCGGGTGTGAGCATGTCAGTTACTCGTATTAGAAAAGTAGTTACAAATACAAATAGATGAATGCGTAATTAATGTATAATTTATAATATTATTTTGTTTACAGTATAAAGACAATACTAATTACTGTCAATTAAGTGATGTTGACATTTAGGTACCTATACTTAGCTAATTCATAGTTTATTTAGATACACTTTAGGTACTTATTCACAGCTTCACGGAGAAATACAACCTCGGATTTATCAAGTTGAGGTGAACGACTAGCTATCTTCAGGTCTTGATATTACTTTCCATCAGGTGAAGTAAGTCCAAGAGTGAAACTATTTCTAAAAAAATATAGTAATGTCCGGGGATTTTTAATGGGAGATAATAAAACGGTAACCCCGCCTGCACTATCGGTGTATCCTGATGGGACATCAGTGTGAGATGATAAGTGAAGATGAAACAGGTAAATTAGTTCATTGTAACGTATTCAACTGTAATTAACTACAATGGCTTCTAGGGGAAACTGCGTGGAGGTCGTCTTGATAGGGTATATTTATTTTATTTACTTATTCATTATTACATGTTTTTTTTTACACTACTGAGGTGGCAATAAAGCATACGGCTCACCTGATGGTAAGTGGCTACTGTAATCTATGAACGTCTGCAGTACCAGGGGTATTACGCGCGCATTACCGACCCTGAAGAAACCTCTTGTATGTGTACATAGTGGACTTAATGCTAAAAGCATTCTCTCCCAGTCAACCTTAGGGAAGTGTCAGAATACTCGAATGCGGTACTATTCGTGATGTGCCATTCGGCCCTATTACTAACAATTCTTTTTTTCCCAAAAAGTCTGGTGTCAGTGAAGCGTAGGTACCTTACAGTCATGTTGCTAAAGACGGTCGTAGTTCAGTTCGTGCGTGGCTATATAAATTATTGGATACGGTTGTTAATTACGGTAGTGGCTGTACGCAACCATCCGCTCGGCGGCATTTTTATTGTTGTACGCTCGGTAAACAGTATTTTTTTTTAATGGGTAACCCCGTCTGCGCTTTCGGTATACAATGGCGGGGCACCAGTGATAGATGACTAATGATGATGAAAGCAGGTCAGTTAGCCCATCCTGACGAATTGAACTAGAATTAGCCACCATGGTTTCCAGGGGAAACCTCGTGGTGGTCGACCTGATAGGGTGTATTGCTAGCAATGGGTTCATTAGATCCCATTACTAACAATCCCTTTTTCCCTTTAAAAAAATACTAGGTAAATAAAATATAAGTTTGAGGTTATTAATTTTACAATTAACACCTACCTCTAAGTGGCGTTATAAACAATTTGTTAACAAAGTTTACAAACGGATGTTGTAACAGAGGTCGCATTTAATGTTTTAGACCATGAATAGTTCAAGAGAGCGAGGGCCTCAATCACGAAACGTAAACTTACCGTACTTAAATAATAAATTTATAATTAAACGACCTCTGTAGGTACATGGGAAATATTAAAAAAAAAAAAATAACATCGAGGGGTCTTAAAAACACCGATAGAAGCATAAACAATAATTTTTAGAAATTTTGTCTGTCTATATGTTTGTTCCAGTATCATGTAAAAACTATTGCACCAAATTGGATACGGTTATTAGTTGTGTTCCTGAAGGAAGGAAACAATAACCGTATTAGTTAATTCCCGTGGAATACATCACGATGGGTTAACCGACCATTTTTTATTGCCCTGCCAGCGTATAGCGCAGACAGGGGTAACCATTCCATGAATTAACTATAAAAACAAGACCCTCACCATCAGGTGAGATAAGATCGAGCACAAACCTTTCTAAACTAGTACTATAAAGAGGTAGGATTTAATTTTCTGTTTGTAAAGGATAAGTAAATTTTTTTTTATTTTAATTTTTTTTTTGTCTACAGAAATTTACATTGTCAGCAATATGGTTGTATTTTATTTTTAAATAAACCACATGCAGTGAGACAGGTTGCTAGTCTTATTTATATTTTTGTCTTGTAATAAAAAAAAAATATAGCAGAATTACCTATGTTTGTACATAATGTACTGTGCTTTATAACAAAGTACAATACTACAATGCGTGGTAGAAATACAAGTGCGTGCGTTTCCACACAAATTATCGTGTACGTAGGTACAATTAGATACAGCAGTGGGTTTCTAGATACTCTATCTAATGATATGCAATTATAATAGCTTGTTTACGACTGGTTATTGTTATCCAAGAGTTAAACTATGGGTAGGTCAAAACTTAGGTACCTAAGTACCAGAGGGACACAAGTCGTTTGCTTGAGCACTTCTGTCCCATTTGTGTTTCTACCGTGAAGCAGTCATGTTTGCATGGCTGTGTTTCGGTTTGAAGGGTGGGAAATGGCAGTGAATTTACAGGGTACAGAGGAATAACACCTGAGTCCTCAGGAATGGCAACGCATGGGGGGTATCATGGGCGAAACAGTATACTTTGGTATGTCCATGGTACTGTTCATGTCTATAGGCGACGGTTACCACTTTCCATCAGGTGGGCCGTCAGTTGGTTTTCCATTGCAAGTTGTATAAAAAAAACCTAGTTATATGTAAAAATGATTGGCATTTGTTTAATATAGTATAATAATATAATATTATGTATATTATCTTGTTTAGAATTGTTGTTCCTTTCATCAGCATCCCTCATAAAACATCACAAAAATCTAACTGCGGTTGCTAACCCGCCTGCCAAGCGTGAAAATTCTCTAATAGAGGGAAGTCTATGCTTAACAATTATGGACAATTGACGGCTGATACGATACGATATTGAAAATTTTAAGAAAAGGTCACATTCCTTCTTAAAAGGCCGCCAAAACATCTGCAGTTTCTCTGACGTAGCGGGCACTTACCACTTACTGTTAGTACTTACTTATTTATACTCAGCTACTAACATTAATCCAACTGAATATGTTTATCGTATTGTATCGACCGTAGACTGTTTACTGCTGAACGTAGGCCTCTCGCATGCATGTAGGCATCTCGGTTGCCAATAGTTGCCTTAGCAAGCGAGTTGGCAACTGCAGTTAGGCTTTGGTGATATTTTAATATGTTTTTTTTTTGTTAATGGGTGAAAATGGAATAAATACGCTGGCGGGGCAACAGTAAGGGATGATGGATAAGGATGAGGACAGATCAGTCAGCCATAGTGAAGTATTCGACAAGAATTAACCACGACGGTTTCCTGAGGTAGTCGCGTGGAGGTTGACCTGATAAGGTATATTGCTCGCAATGGGGCTGTTAGAACCCATAACTAATAATTCCCTTCCCCCTAATATACATGGTTAGGTTATTCTTAACTGTAGTTTGCCGTAGGTATTTCGATGAAAGATTTAAACATAGGCGCAACTCATGCCAACACCCGGAACAACCTTCTACAACCAACAACCCTCCTATTTATAAATAAAAATATACAACTTATTGTCTGCGGTATGATAAACTTGACAGTCGGTTAAGTTGTGCCCATGAAAAATAAATCTTGACCCAAATCCGTAGAACAAATACCAAGTCCAATATTTGATCGGATGTTAGCGTTTGGTGGTATACGCGACAAGCGGTGCGAACCGGTAAAGGTATTTCTTTGAAAATGTGATCGTTACGTCTTCACACCTTAACGACAAGGTCAGGTTTTTTATTGGATGATAATGTAATGGTAACCCCGCTTATGCCAACAATATACGCTAGCGGGTTATCAGTAAGGAATGATAGGTGTGAATGAAATGGCAGGTCAGTTAGCCCATCGTAATGAATACGAGTACATCTGGATTTCAGCACTATAGCTTCCAGGGGGACCAAATGGAAGTCGAGCTAATTGGGTATATTGCTACATTCTTTGGACTATTATAATCCGCGTCTCTAGATGCGTTAAGTTGTACTATAAAGTACGGAAATTTGAGTTTCTGAAACTATCTGCTAGAGGCGCAGTTAAATTTTCAATATACAACTTACCAAGTAGGCAAACGTGACGAATTAATTAGAAATCTATAACGATGAGTTTCAAGGCGGACCGCGTGGTTGTCGAACTGAATTATTAAAAAATCTCTTACCTCTAATGCTCTTAGTAAATGGCTAAAAATATCATTTGAGAACTATTGAACTGGTCTTGTTAACTTTTTAAATGTTCATAGTAGTCAGAATAAGTTTTAGGAAAAGAAAATTTGGTATTTGGATAAAACCATGTCCATCAGCTCGATACTAATATAGATTGAATATGTAATAGTTGCCATTTAATTTTCAGCTCATTCCAGATTTTTAGACAATAAAATGTAAGGATTTTATCCTTACTTGTTCCCAAAAATTACCACAAAAATCTGTGCTGCTATAATTGAGTATACTTACTGGTAACTATTTCTGTAGTTTAGGTACTTACGTATAGATGGCGTTGTAAAAGTTTCTTCTGTCACAAAATTAATAAACATAGTAAGCCCAAGAAATAATAATTTCATTTTAGTTGATTATTACATATAATTTTTCATATTTAAATTTGTAATTTAAATATGTAATGAAATTGCACTGCAATATTGGGACTTGTTTTTAGAATGTATTTAAAAATAATGAAAATACATTTCAGTGTTGATTGCATATTTTATTTGGAAATATGTTTGTACCAGCAATACATAGACAAAATTTTACAATAACATTAACATTAAAGAAATACCTTAAACATTAAAGATTTTATTCATAATCATTAAAAGAATTGAATGAATTTATTTCTCATAATTTAACATGTTAGTTCCACAAATTGTCATCAAGTTCCATAAGTAATAAATTAATTAAAATTTGTCCAGATTTATAATTATACATTATAATTATATAATACATTGTGATAAATTGTTTAGTGGATTATTATCACAATTTAGGTATGTAGTTATGTCCCAAGCAATCATTCAGTCGGAACTGTGAAAAAAATAATATTATTGTAAGTTCAATTATATACTATCCATGAATAATTAATTATATAGAATGTATAAATTAATTGTTGTATAGTGTACATTTTTATTTGTTTTAATAGACAACAGATAAATACATTATACTTACAGTTTATTTAATTATTAACGTAATCATATTAAAGTCATAATCATATTTGTCAGTCTGCATTGTTCTCACTACTGCTTTCCTCACTACTCTCCTCTTCACTGGATTCCTCCTCACTGGATTCGTCATCTGATCTGTTGCCTTTTGCCGCCTTTCTAGCCATGATCTCCTTAAACTGTCGTACTGTTATTTTTTTTGGCATAATTTCTCTAAGAAAATCCAAAGTGTCATCTTCCTGAACAACTTCAGCTATGTGTTTGTATTCTAGCAAATTGCCTTTACTATTCTTATGGGCCCTTTTGGCTAGATCTGTGACAAATAATTCCTAAAAAAAATTTACCAAACTGATATTAGTTAGTTCTTCCGCAATACAGGTTTGCGTAGTGTGGGGTCCAATGTTGTCATGTTGTATATGCCTTGTGTTTAATAAATAAATTAGTACTGATAAATAATAAGGTACCAAAATAGAATTTATGATAAATATAACAAATAAATAAATTTAAATAAGTAAATCCATAAATTTCATTCATGTGATTAACATGTTAACAGTATGGTTTACTACAACTGTATGTAAAGGATTTTTATAAAAATCCTATAAAGAAAAAAATCTATAATAAAAACAAATAAGCATCCTAATTAACCTACTAAAATTATAAGTTTGTAAGGATAGATGGATATTTGTTACTCTTTCACACAAAAAATACTGAAGGGATTTGAGTGCAACTTGCTACACAAGTAGATTATATCCTAATATAGTGTATATTAGGATACTACATACATAGTATACTTTATGTACTTACTAAATCACGCGGGCGAAGCCGCGGAATACAGCTAGTAAATCATAAACCTCAATTTAAATTCAAAAGTGAAACATCTTATTAAGGTTTTACCAATGAAATAATTGTTACATGTTCAAAGCAATCTACTTACAGTAACTTTGGTAACTAAATACAGCGGTTCTGGCCCTACTGCTTCTACGTCTGGAGAACTTTTCATTATTGTTTTTACTCTTGATAAAGGTAGATGACAATCTCTTTCACTTTTCGGCATAGTCATCGTAATGTATCTATTTAATATAATATTAATTGACTGATTAAAATAATAAATTGATAACAATTACAATAATGCAAAAAAATTAAAATAAGCCTAAAAAAAAAATACATTAAAGCACAGATCATTTTTGGTACAGATAACTTTGAAGAAATTAAACAAACATAAAAGAATTGGGGTCGACTCTGAGATGTCATTTTTCGAAATCTTTATTGTAAGGACTAACATGAACTAATTTTATAATAGATTTAATACAAAGTTATTACAATTTTAGTTAGGTAAAATGGTAATTTTGTGAAATTCTTAAATGAAAATATTAAGAGATTAATTAAGAGATAAATTTGGAGCAATGACGCCTCAGAATCGACCCCAACGCGTTTGACGTTCAAGAGAAACCAAAGTTGACATTTGCCCGTCATTAAGAAGAGACGTCAGTGTCAGATGCCAACAAAAATTGTTCAACATAGATAAAGAAGGAATAAAGATTTGCTATAGCGAGTCATCTTTTACCCCATTTACACTTGGCATAACAGAATAAAAAAAAAAAATTCCGTTAAAAAAAAATACATATTATTTTTATTCATTTCTTTTACATCCTCTACTGTTGTTCGCAAAAAAAAGGCGATGACCGTTAATATTTGTAAAAAGCGCCATCTACTGAACTTTTAGATTAACAGGCAAGTTGAGCAAGTTGTAATGATTATTAATGTTTTTTCTTTAGGATTTTCTCAGAAGAAAAGGAAAAATAATCAGTAGGAAATACCTATCTAATTTAAAATTTATATCAATGTTCGTAACGGTCTAATCGATTTTATTGCAATTACTTCAGGTGATATGTTAGGTATTTAATAGTTTCTAGGATTTGGTACAAAAATATTTGTAATTATGAGTAGGTATAGTGTAATAGATATCATAAATATCAGGCTTACATGTATCAGTATAATAATTTAGTATATGATGCTCTTTGCATTTATTTCGTAGGTGAACATATTTTTAATCAACTTTAAAAACGATGGTCCACTATTTTTGTTTATTACACGATGTCCTTTTAGCTAATTCTGCGTCGATTTTGATGACTCTTCCAATCGATAAGGTTTAGGGTTGCTCTCATATTTGCATTCTAAAACTAAATTTCTCCAACAGTTATACTGCGATTAAAGTAAGTCTTTAATTGTGAATAAAAATGTTAGTATTTAGCGTACTTTTACAATCCTAACCAGGTGATATTACCTAAGTTTCTTGTGTGGATATATTATGTTTTGTTCCTTTTGCCTATGTTCTGGGGATGACAAGAAGTTACCTCGTCATAACTTTGCTAAAAACTCCCTATCCATTTAAAATTGGGCTTAGTCTCTAATAAGAGTACAATAATTCTGCTGAGTTTTATAAATATTTTCATTACGGTTACCTACATCGCCTTCACGTCGATCAGTGTTTCATTTAGGTATTATAATGACAGACTCTTACCGTGTTAAACATCCACTAAGTATTCCAATGGAAACTATCCTAATTTTTGAAGCCGAATAATAATGAACGGCTCAAGAAATTCTCAAGTCGAAGTACATTGAAATAACTTAGACTAGGGATACCTAAATAATTTTATTATATATATTACAGTTTATGAATTTCCGGCGTTTTTATGATTTTTCCGTAGAGCGTTCCACGACACCGCACAATTTTATTGTCACTGTAATAGGAGAGCGAAACGTAGATATTACGTGGATTAAACGTTTGCATAGTTTTCAACGATTACGACGTGACAATAAAGTCCTGAGGTGTCGTATTGTCGCTACGATAAATTATAAAATCTCCTATCTTCAATTGTTTTAAGGAATGTAAGTTTCTGCCACCATACTGTTTGTAATCCTCAAAATGCTAGATGCCACTAGTAAAGAACTACAATGCGCTAGGGTACAACTTCCTGAAACAAAAATCTATTTGCAGATTATCTGAAGTTCGGATCTCTCAGTGCGCGAGTCCGACTAAAGATAGTAAGTAGTTTTTGAAAAAGATATGTGACATAAATAGACATAATAATTGAACAGCACAAGTATTGCCATAAGCTTCAAATTCTCTACCGGTACTTAGAAATTAATTGGAAATGGGAATAAATAATAATCAGTTTTGGTCTTAACGCTAGCTGTCTTTATTTTCCATTTCCTTATAGAAAATACTTTTACGAAAAACAGTATATTGGGCCGCCCGCGTGCCCGGACGCCCCTGTGGGGCGCCGCTGACTAGTGTCGCCCGCCGACCCACCATATCCAATACTTACATGAAAACGATAAATAATACAAAAAAAAATACTGATAACGCGAGATCGAACAACATCTTACAGAGACTTCTCGATTTTGATCAGTTCAGCGATGCCATCGTACATCTCCTTGACGGCCTGGTATTCGGTCAAGCCCATACGGCGCTTGTTGGAGATATCGTAGATACCACCCTCGGCCTCAGTGTGCTCACCGCGGGTTCCGCGGACCTGCAAGTGATACTTGGCCGCAACCTCCTCCAGCTTAGCCTTATCCGCCGCCAGTTTGGGCAGCTTGATGTGTACTGACGCACGAACAGTTGTTCCCAAGTTGGTTGGGCAGAAGGTGAGGAAACCGAGCCTATCATTGTGCGAGAATGGAATCCTCTTCTCAATGTCATTGACAGCAGTCACAAGCCTCTTGTAAACTTGCTTTAAGTCACCACCCTTCTGCATGGAGATGATGCGCAAGTGATCCTCTTCGTTGCACCAGATCAAGAAAGTCTTGTCGACGTTGTGGTAGATACCACGGCCAGTGGGCCAGTATCGGCAAGCGTTGGCAGCCTGGAGGAAACGGTCACCCTCTTTGAACAAGAAGTGGTCATCGATGAGTTGTTGTTGAGTTTCCTTTGACATGCCGGTGAGAGGGTAGTAGGTTCCCTTGAGTTCACCTTCCAAGCCAGCGAGAGTAGAGGAAACTTTGTCTTCCATCTCCTTGTACTGGGCCTCAGTCAAGCAGGGGTTGAAGGGGTATCCCTCCATCGAGCGACCACAACGGACGCGGGTAGAGATGACGAACTCGCCAGCCGGGTCCAAGTTGCCAAGGGTTTCAACATCACCCCAGTTCTTGGCTGGGTGCTTATCAGTTTTCTTGAATCCATTGTGATAGTCCTCAATGATGGGGTCAAACAGGTCAGCGAACACAACATATGCCTCAGCATCAGGGGCATAGATTCCAACACCAGAGTCCAAGTTCTCAATGCCTGGAAAATAAAATAAAAATACAATATAAGTAACTAATTGAATATTGCATGTTAGGTAAGGTGCCTCAATACAGGGCTCTTCAAAAAATGAGTTTAAAAATTTTTAAAAGGCTAGCAATGCATTAGTAACACCATTATGTGGACCATCAATCATCAGAATCATGTCAGAAAAAAACGGAGGCACCTATAACTACTCTTTTCAGGTTGTAAAAGATTATTACATAATATTCATAGTAAAAAATAATAATTAGATATTAAAAAATTATTTCTTCAAAACATATTTTAATCTTATATAAATGATAGCAATAGATTTAAAAAAATTTATGGTTACTGACTGTAAAGTAGGCACTTTTCATTGGAATAAGTTACTTGTAATCTAGTTGACTGAATTAACCTACCTGACTGGATGCAATCCAACAGGGTTGAGCCAAAGGAGGTCTTCTTGTTCTTGAGAGCTTCGAATACTTCCTTGGTGAGGTACTTCTTCAGCAGTGACTTAGACTCAGAAGCTTGGAGCTTGCTGAAGCCAGCTTCCAATTTCTCAATAGTTGCGGCGTCCACCATTGCTGCGGCTTTTCTGTAAAAAAAAATCACATTAAAAACAAATTATTCCTTGCGATTATTGTTATAAAATTAGCTACAATTCTAACGCTTTTAAAGCTGCACACGTTGCTCTTGAGCACATATTGGATAAATTTCTCTCTAAATGTCTTATTTATTTCTGACACGAAAAGAAATCAAGAAAAGATAAATATATTTTTTTTATTTACGTCACGTCGGCAACGCTTCAACTGATTTTTTTATTAAAAAAAAATAGTGACGTACCCGTTATCTCTTGAATCGAGCGGTCCCAAGGAAAACCTATATTAATTTATTTAAAAACTTTTAAATATTTTACACAAAATACGAATTATTTAAATAACTACTATGTATCTAAAATTACTGCAATTATTTTAAGTGACATCGACAATACATTAACGAGTGAAAGTACATTAATGACATCGTAATGACAACTGTTAGAATGTACTTCTATTTAAAAATGTTACAAACCTCCTGATGAGGTAATAGGCAAGAACGGCGCCACCGCAAACCACCACTGGAATTGTAACTTTAAGTTTATAATTCATTGCAATGAATATACTAAAGCCACTTTATGATTGCGGAAAGGATGCAACGACTATAGGTAAGGGAGGTTTTACGCGGACTGTTGGGCTTGGAATTATTTTTCGAACACACCCAAGAATTCACTTGATTTTGTGGTGGAATTACGTAATTTAGCCAGAGGTCGCCTTGACCGACACGCGCAAGTCTAGCGGATGTGTCAACTCACTGCGCACCGGTGCTGCTTCGAGGCGCGCAGCCGTGTACCTCCCACTCGTATAGAATGAACGTGTTATCGTCAGTTTCCAGTTACCAATATGCTTTCATTGGTTTACTTCCACAATTAAGCATCAGATTACGATATACGCTTATTATTCCATTCGAATTCTATCGATCACGATTGAGTATCGATGTGACAAAGTTTGCATTGGGAAATTTACGGATAAAAAACAATAATAATATTAAAAAAATAGATTTTAAAATTTTTACATAATCGATAGATTTTATTATATTTCTTGATAGACATACATTGAGTTAATTTGTCATTTTGTATAATATTTTGTTGGATAAATATCACACAGATAAATTTCCATTAAAATTATTTCAAGAAATCGGACAAAAATATTTTATTTATAAGTAAATTTCGATATATTTAAGCAAAATTATATAGTATAATTGTGAATTTTATCCTTATTTATGTGGGTAGTTTAAAGTTAATTAATTTATCTAGAACTTCAATGTACGCGAGATTATTTATATTTATTTTCATAATTATAGGCATATAATTAGCTATCTTAACTAAATTACGAGGAAAAATATGTGGTGAAAATGAATGAAATTATATAAATTAAATAGGTTGGGAATTATATTAAACCGAGCACTGTAGATAAATGCCGGTCGTTGTCAAGTACGCACCCGTCGGCATCATCAGCCGGTTTATTTTCCTTGTTTTCTTTCGTTGCACAGCCACCCATTTTCACAAATATAATATATAAAAACTAGCCGCTAAAACATGCACTAAATCACAAAATATACAGCAAATAAATAAAAGGAATGGAGAATCTAAATGCAATGATGGAATGATATTTTGTCTAAATGAATGTATCTTAGCCGGGAGTGGCGAGGGCGAGGGGTAGCTCGATCGATGCGCGACACGCAGCACGCACGCGGCTTTACGCTTCCCGCCCTTCGGGAACTGCTTCAAAACTTTTCGGAGGGAAACTTCCCTCGGCAAAATCTACCGGTTACCTTCACAGGTGATATTTACAATATATATACAACGAGTAGTTCTTGCTGCACGATTTCTTTTTATCAACGTTTAAACACACTTGACATTATCTTTACACATCTTCAAATACTGTAAATTGTCACACAGTCAATACCTAATCTGTTCAAACGATGACAAAGCGCGATGGCGGCGGATCTATAGGATGGTACTTTGATATTGGTATTAACCACCGCTTACCTGGCACTTGAACAACCGTTAGAGTCGACTGCGAGGTGCAGAATGGTCGCAGCGGGAGCGCGCAAAGCGTTAAGCCTGCGTCGTCCCCGCCCGCACCGCAGCCAGCCCTTCTCTAGCTTCCTCTGTCTGTCGACCTTGCTGTGATCAACTGTGATGCTGGTCGGCATCGGCATAACCAAATTGCTCGCCACTGGTCCTCAGTATCAATTGTGATTTCGGGCTAAAGTATCTATTATTATTTCATATCAAAGTCAAGGACTAAACAAGTCAACAACGAAAATATTGACAGTCGATGTTGATACTGTACCTATCAATATTGTTTTCCGCGAACAATTATAAGAGGCAGTTAAAATTAATCAGTAATTTTATTGGTACAGTTAAGTGTACATTTTAACGAGTTTGATCATGAGAAATTGTGATTATTTAATTGACAATATCAGCATTTGACTACATTTTTATAGCATTCGAATATAATATGGAATATTGTAAATTATTAAAGTAGGTAAAAATAATTAATTCATCATTTTTTTTTTTTAATTTATATCCATCATTATAGGTTCTAATTTCTAACTCGATAATTCATCAATTACAAACAAATATAAATATATGAGTCTTATTAAAGATATATAGTTTGGAAACTATAATTATTATTATTTAATAATTCAGAAATGTATAGTGTGTTATCACAATACACAATATATTTCAATTATTCATATAATATATATGGCGTGGATAACGAAAGATAAATGCAATTTAGTAGTGACAACTAATAATCGATTGACAATTACTTAAAAAAAAAAATTACTAAATCTATTGATTACGTTTTTTTTTATTATCGCGTCACGCACAATCCTTAGTGTTATCATCGACTACGTGGGAAATTTAAAATTAGATTGTTGCCAATTCTTTTTTGTGGCTGGATGTGCTCCAAGACGGCTTCAATGTTAGCTATCACGGCGATGCCAAAGTCAAGTTCGTTATTTTTCACTTTCAATTGCATAACCTATTTAAAACTCAAATTTTCCTATACGCTATATTTAATGTATTTCTTGTTATTATTGAACCGGTAATGTCAAGTTTATAGATTTTATTTGAATAGCCTGCGTCATGATGTAACAGTCCGTGGCCGTGTCCTTGCGGGAGTCCTTGACCTACAAGATTACGTCGGGGTAGCGAGGCACACTCGTGACTCGGTTACTCGTTCAAAGGTGAAACCATAAAAACAACCCTTACATAAGTATCTTGTATCGCTCAGTTGTTTACGCTACACATTATTTATTGTTTTAATATTTTTTTTTTAATATTGATAATATAGGTAGGTAGGTTAAACTACCTAAGTAGATAAGTACTGGGAGAAGGGATTGTTGGCAATGGGGACTAACGACCCCTATATTTACAATTACATCTTATCAAATTGATCTGAACGCAGTCTCCTATGAAAACTAATCGTGGTTAATTCTTGAAGAATTCGTCACGATGAGCCAGCTGATCTGATATCATCCTCATCTTTCACTGGTACTCGAACAGTCAGTACTGATAGCGCATTATTTTCATACTATTAAAAATGCCGCCCTATGTAAATGTTTGCGGCTCTTTAACTCTTGTAAAATTGACGAAAATGTCATTCTGTAATGTTTCGAGACTAATATATTATTTTTTTTAATCAATAAGAATGGAATGGTAATCCCGCCTGCGGGTGGCGGTGTACAGTGAGGTATAATAGGTAAGAATAAAAATGCAGGTCAGTTAACCCACCGTGATGAATACACCTGGAATTCAGCACGATAGTTTCCAGGAGGGACCATATGGAGGTCGACCTGACAGGATATATTACTAGCAATGGGACTGGAAGTCCGCATTACTAATAAACCCTTCTCTCCCTAGCCCGCATTACTAACAATCCATTAAAAAAATGGTATATTGCCGAACAAAAGTCATAAATTTGAATGTAGCCGACACCCTCGAATTTATTAAAATAGAAATAGGTAATCTTTATTTTAATAAACTTGTTTACAAGCTCTTTTAAATCGTTACTTTTTTATGATTCTCCGTTGAATACAGGAATGTTGTTGTTTGCTGATAAGAACTTGCAAAAAATATACCAATGTTCGAAATAAATTTATGTATCAAATCATTCCATATTTGTATGGGTACAATAATTACGATTTGCATTTTTGAATGTAGATAAGACCCAGTCATTTAAAAAAATGGGGTTTATATTTTAATATAATTTAAAAAATAATGTTAATATAAAATATTAAATAACAAAATCATTATTCTTTTGTATTAAAAAAAATGTGTTGTGAAATTATATTTCACTATTTCTTATAATTATTATTATCTATTTGGAGATTTCCTGCGACCCTACATAATACCGCCTGCAATGCGAATTTAGGTCGTGACCTGAAGTTAAGAAATGCTGCTGTAGGAATCGGTAGGGATAAATAACGCTTATTGGGTCAGTTAGAAATGGTATAAAAATATCTGCCAGATATAGAAGAGAAAGGGTTTGTAAGTAATGGGATTTAAATAGGGCTACTGTTGCTAGCAAAAGCATTAATTCTGTCAGGTCCACCTTCATGTTGTCTCCTCTAAAAACCGTTAGTTAGTATATCGTTAGCGCGGGCGGAGTTGCCATTCCATTATCATAAAAAAAAATTGCCTCACAGGTGCCATGCCGGCGTAAATCGGTAGCGTAGGCGGGGATTGTCATTCCATTTTCAAAATTTAAAAAAGATGTGGCAGATACCAGGAACTTTTTTTTCTCTTAGTCTCTCTCTAAATTTCCAATGACAGTTCTTTCCAATGACAAACTTTGTCATTGGAAAGAACTTTGTCATTGGAAATTTTTGTTTGACTTTTCGGTAATGGAACATGGCCGGCGAAATGTAATATGGGCGTGTTGAATATGTAAATATGCGAATGTTACTTTCAACACAAGATTGTAATCATTGGGATATTTAAAAATATTTCCAGGGGCTCTGACCCCTTAAAGAAGGCACATATGTACTTTCGAACCTCTTTGCTGACGATTCCGTTCCTTATTAAGGGTGGGCACTAGGCATCTCTGGGGTGAGCACGGTTTACCCGGCCCCTTCAATATACGCCTATTGGTGTAATATTCGACAAATGCCTCTGACTATACATCGCTATCGGAAATTACAGTTTATATATTTTTTTGCGTCAAATTCGTTTCAATAGTAGGTATTATACGTATCATTGCGTGCGGTATTTTAGATAAAGAATCAATACCACTGCTTGTGGTGAAGATGACGTAAATATTTTTACGTGTGTTGTATTGCAATATAATTTGGATTGAATTGATTTTTAATTATTGTTACACTAATTTAAATCATTATTATTAATATTATAAATGTGATTGTGAGCTTGTGTGTTAACTTTTAGCGCTATAAGGGCTATTATTTTGAAGTATGTGTGTGTTCTACCACTTGTACAACGGATTGTACTCAGAGGAATTATTCAATATGATTCATCCAATTCATTTCTACCTCATACGTCTAGGTTGTGGAATAAGCTCCCGTCTTCAGTTTTCTCTTTACAATATGGGGAATTTAAAAAAACGTGCCTACAAACATTTAAAAGGTCAGCAACGCACTGTTCATGGACGATGTTAGCTGGTTTCTATCATGTGGACCATCTGCTTGTTTGCCTCCCTAATTTGTTTCATTGCCGTATGTGACCCGGCATAGAATGGGCTACCCCTACCTTTCCCGTGGATGTCGTAAGAGATGACTAAGGGAGGGCGAGGGATGGGCATCAGCGTCCCTCTTAAAGTATCTCTAAAAGCCTAACTGTTCCCAACCCG